TATATATCTATAGATATACAAGTATAATGGATATGGATATGTATATGCTTATGTATATGTATATGGAGATACATATTTGTATGAAATCTATACCTGTTTTTATGACTGTACTTATATGTTTTTCCTGTGTGTATGTCTATCGCTATCTTTATCTCTGTATTTGTATATGTATATGTATATGTATTTATGTCTATATCTATGTTTATATACATGTGCTTGTGTGTTTATGTGTGTGTGTGCGGGTGCGGGTGGGTGTGTATTTAACGACATACGCATTAGCCACGCAGCTGTATGGGCAATGTGAGCTAGTGCGTGTGTAGCGATGTGTGAAAGGAACGGATATTGCTATAGCAAACGTGTACTCGTTCGACTGAGCTATGTGTGCTTCAGGGGGTTTTGAATACGGGGGATGTTTGGATAATACCGTTATATTGACAAGTAGAGTCGGATTCGTGCATGGTGGATCGATAACGATTCGAACTGGTATGTATTGTCTACGAACATCACTCGCAATTGCAAGCAATGCGAGATGTTATATGGTACGCTTATACCCTGCGTTAGACCGTATATAACAACCACTTTCGAACAGACGCCGCATCGTCATCCACACATCTCATATTTTTTCTGTCGTATATTCAAATATTGAACACTTCCAGGACATCCAAGACTTCGTACGCGAGAGCCCGTCGTACTTTCTTCGGTCGCCCGAGTACTCAACGCTCATCACCAAGCTGATCTTCACACTAGCGCCAGGTGTATACCTCCACTGCACAACATACCTTGCATTCATTAGTCTTTCGCTTTGCGTATGTATACGAAAGTGCGAGTATGGCACGGTGTACATGCTCATCGTGTGTGGTGTGTCAGTCTGTGAATATCTCTTCGATTCTCCTGGACGAGATGCGTCTGATATGACGCCGGAAACGCCTATATCATCGCTAATCCCGTATTTCCATTGCTTTTCCGGTCTTCCGAACAGTGGCACGCATGGTGGAGCACATACAACGGAGACATCTACGCGCGTCGCAAATAAGTGACCTTGAGAACAACCAAACCGATGCGATATCAGCTCTATTGGAAGGTATTTGCTGTACGCATCGTTGGGATGCGCAATGTGCTACGGATACGTATCATTTGTGTGTCAGTCGGTCCTTTGTCAAATGAGCTCATGCACGAGCTGTTCAGGCTTCCGCACGTTGCCATCAGTCTGACATATTCAGATTGTGACAGTTATATGGCTATGCGTTTTCCTGCGCATCAGTTGATAAAATGTATACCGGAGTAAGTACTGTTACGTATGCTATCATAATCATCATCGCACCGTCGTGTGAGAACGGAAACTTCTGGTCGCGCGTGCGACTATTCAATTCCCCATCAATCCATTTGTCATTTTAATTCGGCCAGTCCGCAATTACTGAATTGTCCACCACTTTTGCCACTCGCTTGCAATCTCTAGGGGTTCCGTACCTGGACGATGTCGATGGAATGTTCTTCACCCCCACCTCCAGCCGTAAGCCATCGACCATGTCTCCGCCAATATCACGAGGTTTGTATCATCTATGACATCTGATAGGCAGTCTAGAAAGGATTTACAGTAATAATATGTCAAAGTGTTCTATTCAAATCGATTGAAGAATTGTGCTCATCGATGGGGAACATCCTGGCTTATTGGAATATTCAATACAGACTGGTTGTAAACTGTGTGGGATTTGGGGTGTAGCAACTACTCTACGCAATATAATCTTATGCCGTCATCTTCCAACGTCTCATCAGGGGTACAAGTCTGGGGGCGAAACAATCTTGCAAATTTAGTGGTGAATATCCTGTAGTATTGACACTGCTACCATATTGCATCAGCGGGTGACTCGTGCATGGCGAGTTCCAAAGTTTTATTCTGGACGTACATACTGGTGTTCGCCACCCATTTGGGACATCTACTCGAAACTCGACCACTTGATGACAGAATAACTCATACGCCATGCACACAACGCTACATACATTCCCGCACACGCACACACTGTTCCATCAATCGGCTGCATAAGACTGGCGAACTAATGAACCGTGCTCGAATTAAACATGCAGACTCGCGAGGTAAGCTCACCAGTGATATTGGTCCTGATGGGACCGCAAATGTCAAGAACAGGTCGCGTGCCTACTCCACCCTCGCACACGAGATGGGACTGCTGGATGGCAGATCCGCAAGCTCTGGCAAAGACATGGTAAGTTTGGGGCCAGCCAGCGCCAACTTTAAGTTTGCTGCAACTAGAGTTCGAATTATCGTCTGTCACTTGAGGCAGGTTTATGCTCAGCATGCGAAGTACACTCGCACACGCGATCACGTACTATCTCGCCGCCGGCTGCTGTGTGGCGTTATAGCCGAAGGGTGCTCGTCTTTTGCTTGTGGCAAGTGTGTTTTGTGCGAATCTCTATAGAAAAGGCTTCCTATTCTGGCGCGAAAGCTCACATGCCCGTTGTCACTCTATGTCCCTCGTCTCATTCCGAAGACTGTGCTGGAAGAGGACGATGAGATCGGTGCACAGTCCAACCGCAGCACGGAAATGCTCGCCGACATTGACAGCGCAAAACTCAAGGGCAAGGTACAGAAGAAAAACAAAGACCCCACGCAGAACCACACGACGACGCAACAACAAAAGCCTGCCCTCACGCATCTGATAGCCCAGGAGTCGAATGACAGGCGTGCTTTAGCGTCGGAAGAGGTGCACAAGTTGCAACTGAGTGCTGTTGCGTCTGTGCCCGAGACCACAACGTCCATTCCCATTGCTCGCAACACAACACAGAGCCCACACGAGTTAGAAGCTATGGCAGAAGCGAGTAGGCGGAAACTGCACTTGAGTAGTGACGATGTGGAGGTGCATATGCATATTGTAGCTGTGCGGGTACCTTGTCGAGGACGATGTTGTTGCTTGCCATTTATGCATATTGTAGCTGTGCGGGTATCTTGTCGAGGACGATGTTGTTGCTTGCCATTATCATCAAATTGATTGGACTTGAAATAGGTTTTAGTCAACACCAGGCTTCTGATATGTATCAAACAATTTGACGCCTCAATGTCCTATTCCTGGCTCCTTTTGTCCACAGGTATTTAGCAAAAGTTTCGAAATAGAGGCGGAAAAAAACAGAAAGCAGAGTAGCGGGCAATCCGTATTTCAGCTGGAGCCTGCAACCCCGAGCGGTACACTCACAGGGAAAATGGCCCCGAGTGACTTTTCTCAGAGAGGTGATCGACAAAGATCTCCCTTGGTACCCATGACAGCCAAGGACAAGGGTGTGTGATCCTCTAGTGGTTCTTGGAATCGTGAGTCTGTGTTCCATGAGAGTATGTTTCTCATGTGTTCCGTCAGACAGTAAAGTTTATTAAATCGCGAGAACTTGGGCACGTGGACACATGAAAGGCTATACTGAGCGTACATGCACACAAGCACTCGCATAGCCCTCGAACACTCTTGCCGCAGTTTGCGTGTCGATACCTACGAGCACACAATTATATAGTCACAGCTAACGCTAGTATTCTGCATCTCTCACGCTGACGCTACCCCCCTTCATCATGATTGCGCAATAAATACGCACAGCTGTTAAGATGAGAGACACAGACTCGCCTGCACAGTCGCCACTTGCCCGATCAGCGCGAAGTTCAAGCTTCTTCTCCAGCTCAGCAGAAGGGCTCTCAATGCCAAACGAGAAGGTTCGCCCAGCTCCTCCGCTGGGTGCAACATCGTCGAAGGTGTATTTGATACCTTGCTGTGGCCTTCGTGTGTATCCACTAAAACCGCTCATTTTCATTGAAGTGAACAGTGCCTCAGGCGGACGCGCGTACAGAGTTCACTTCGCTCACCGCAGGTCTGAGAGTCACATATACGTACTCGTTCTTGGTCTAAGAAATCATACTCGCACTCCCTTTCTCTCTGGCATCCTGGCTGTATCACGTATCTTGTTGAGTCCCTCCCCTCTCACATGGCATCGTTTTGAGAATCTACTTTGCGGGTCAAGTCTCTTTGCGCCCACTATGAGTATCGCCTGCATTGTTATGAACCACAATTGGGCACGATCTAAAGTCTACCGCTCATGTCTGTCGCAGACACGCCTTAGACACCATTCTCATGTTGATTGCGATATCTCGGCATCTCGTCTGATGCGTGACATACATCCATTGCACCGCTAGTCTCTCACCACTCACCATCCTTTCTCTCTGCTCACCCGGCTAATGGCCCATCTGCTGCCTATCTATCAGAATATGGAAAAGAAACCTACCAAATTGGGGCGTATCATCAGCGCATTCGGTATTCCGCGGAGTCCTTCGTTGGCAAAGTTAGTACGATCGTCTTCCAAGACCAAGCATCGGCACAGGTCGCGCACTGCTACACAGCTGGAGTCACCCCACACCTTCGACGGAATGAAGGTTGATAGCCGTCTTTCATTTCTCTGTTGCCTCATTCCTATCATCTGTGTCAGAATGGCGTTTGGATTTCGTTTGTGTGATATATGTGCGTATCAATGCAGTGGCAGGAGCTGACAGCTGAATATCCATGGGTGTTTGCTTTAATATCACCTTCCTCGGTCCTCTTGCCAAGCCGCTGGAGACTGCAAGCATCTGAGGTATTCCTATCGTACTATCTATGGACTTGATGCTAATATTACAACTTACTCTATTCAACAGGAGGAGAGCTCACTGCACCCAGTCACTGTGCCAGACAATAGTATACCGGGAATGACCACCGACCCACTCAAACGTAGGTCGACCCATCAACTCACGAATATGCTAAGCAGCACCAGCCTTACCAGCACACCACTCAGAGTGAGCAGAAAGACATCCATGTTCAGTATATTCTCGAACAACTCTGCAGAGCTGTCAGAGCCGTCGACAGACGATGATATGCATATTGTGGGTATGAACGACCATGCCGATGAAACGGTGTTGTGTCGGATGTGCGAGGAGACTATCCAATTGAACAAGCTCGACGAGCACACTATCTTCTGCGCCAAGGTCATTGAATTAGATAACAAGCAAAACACAAAGGAAGCCAGACTGTGGAAAATGATCAGTCTGTTCCCCAAAGATTACGAAAACAAAGAAATGACGAGTGACAAGAGGGCCACACTGCCGTCGCAATCAGCCCGCTCGCACGTGCGATCAACGTCGACGTCAGCGCCCAACTTTGATCAGTTCCTGGCTCTGGCCGTATCCGTTTGCGATTTGGAATTCGTCAACCAAGATAGGTATATTCTGCGAGTGTTTGAGCGCGCGGGTCTGAATGTGTATGTCTACCCCATGGTTGCTACCTTGCCAGATGTGACTTTGCTTCTTGTTTGTTGAATTTTTTGTACAGTAAATGTTGAGGCTATGTATTGACATTCAGGGCAATTGCATCATTTTTTCCGGAGAAAGAAAACCTAGATCTTTCGCAATATACCAGGAAACCGCCACTTAACACCTCATCCTTAATATTTCAACAGTGTCGACAGACTAAAGAAATTAGTGACGCAGCTAGAGAAGTGCTTAAACTCCATTGTGTCCAAAAACGTCTCCGCCGAGTCGGTTGCCTATGGTCGGAAAATCGTGGCCCTGGCCAAAAGCAAACTAGATACCATGAAGGAGAGGGGCCACACGGTGTCGTCCCCGAAACAGAATCCGGATGCGCACAGCAGGTGTGTTCTGGATATCGTATTTTATTGATATTTCGCTTTTATTGATACACCTTATCAGGGCTGGAATTGCCCTGTACCTGGGAGGTTTGTTCGTTCCAGTATTGTAGACAGCGGACGTGTTACTTGCGTTCTGCTATGATCGTTACTTCGAAGTTAGTCCGAAGCAATCTGATACTGGACTCTTTCTCGAAGACCGGTTGTTGTACATCCTAACATTTGGATAGGTATTAGTGCACGGTCCTGCCGATCCCCGTCAGATAAATTAACCTGCGGATTCTCCTGCATACTGAACATTAACCCGTCTTTTGCGTACAGGTTCATGAGCGTTTTCACGGCTATTTCCCGAATGGCGCAGCGTCGCACAACCAGTATGAGTTCTGTTGACAGCGGGGAACGTCACGACAGCTTGAGCAGTGGCGGACCTGCGACTGCGCACACGGGCTTTGCTGAGTCGCCTCACGGTATATATGGCCGTCGGAGAAGTAGCCTTCATAAACACGGAGAGGTAAGGGCGATGTGTGTGTGTGCATCACAGTACGGGCAAGTGTAGTGGGGTGCAGCCTGGTGTAAGTGCGACGGTAGAGCGTTTCTCGGGTCACGCGTGTGAGCTAGAGCGGACTGCGAGTGCGCTGGGATTGATGTGTGATAATTCTTAGCGGCGCAGAGCGGGGTTTGACATAGTAGTTTGTGCACACTTTCTAAAAAAGCTCTCTCTGATGTCGTACCCCGACTTCACGGAACCCAGTGCAACAGTACAGAATAGAGATAAATGAACGACTGCATTACGTTAAAATATAAAATAGTTTATTGTGCAATCTCGCCTAAAAGTGTAGACAGTGCGCAAACGCGCTTGGCAAAATGATTGTTTATTGATCAGTGTCGCTGCTATTTGCATCGCCGATGTACTTACCGTCTTCATCCTCACTAGGATTCTGGAGCTGTTCGACGGCGACCGTCTAATCGAAATAGAGGTTTACCGAACATCAAGGTAAGGTGATTGCAGATTTCGATTTACGATTGCATGTTTGGGGGCGTATCTGCCCGTGCATACACACTGATGATGTGCATTGCGCATGGGTAACTCTCACAGGTGCACGCGGGCTAGGGGGTACAAGTCTCCTGGTGTTTTCAAGGAACCATTTGGTGACGATGCGATGGACATTTCCATTGATAGTCTCATCTTGCCTTTTAGTAGGGATAACTTCCCTGTCTCAATCTCTACTACTTGAATTCCTTCAGGACTTTGAGATACTCAAACCTATCAGCAAGGGCGCATACGGCAGAGTGTATTTGGCAAAGAAGAGGACCACCAGGGACTTGTACGCTATCAAAATGCTTAGGAAAGATGATATGGTCAGGTGTGTACTTCTAAACAACTCTATGAAGATGGACTTGGTCTTGTCAATACTCGTTCGTCACTCTTAATGATGTTATCCGACCGGTAACAAGTATAGCGTACATGTTTGACACATAATCTACACAGGAAAAACATGGTGGACAATGTTCTGGCTGAGAAGAAAGCCTTGGCTCTGGCCGATAACCCATACATTGTTAAGCTCTACTATTCGTTTCAGTCCAAGGATAATCTTTACATGGTGATGGAGTATCTAATCGGAGGAGATGTTTCGAATTTATTGCAATCTTTCGGCGTCTTCGAAGAGGATATGGCAGCTTTCTACATAGCTGAAGTAGCGCTGGCCTTAGAGTATCTACATGACCACGGTGTCATTCACAGGTATTGAAATTCGAAAGCACTTGCATATGGCCTACAAAATTTTGTATAGTCCAGAAGTCCTTACAGGCTTGTATATGTAGGTGCATACTCGTATCTAAAGCACTTACATATGGACTTCAAAATCTTGTAAAGTCCAGAAGTCCTTGTTGTAAATGTAGGCACATACTCGTATCTAAAGCACTTGCATATGGACTTCAAAATCTTGTAGAGTCCAGAAGTCTTTATTGTAAATGTAGGTGCATACTCAAATTCAAAGCACTTGTATATGGACTTCAAAATCTTGAAAAGTCCAGAAGTCCTTATTGTAAATGTAGATGCATACTCGTACCTAAAGCACTTGCATATGGACTTCAAAAATCTTGTAAAGTCCAGAAGTCCTTACGGCTTTTGTAAATGAAGATACGCACCCGTAGCTTATCAGACTGGTTTCGAAAGCTGCATGCAGGGCTTTGAGATTGACTTGAATGGGCGAACGCAACATTACTTTTCCAACGGTCAAAATTTCTATTTTATTTAGAATGTGTATCGCTACAGTGCGCGGAACTGACAGTTTATCTGCATACGTCATGCTTGGCCAGACAGCTACAGTTTTAACGATTCTCCACTTTTTGAAGCTGACCTGGAAATACACATTTACTGTATACACAGAGACATCAAACCTGATAACATGCTCATAGATGAACGAGGTCACATCAAACTCACCGATTTTGGGTTGTCTCGAGTAATATTAAACGAAGATCGAGAAGACGATAATTTGTTTTTCTCCGACACCGAGATGAAAGCAAACATGGATGGTCCACGAAGTCCTAAAACTTGGTTTGATGGCTCAGCTACCAGGTAAGCAAAACTGTAGGCCCACAAGCTCGGTGGCAAACAATCTAGCAATGCGTAGTACCTTCGTTTTTAATACTGTTTGTTAGTTTGAACATCATCTCTGAGTCTGGGCGCCATAACTGGCCAATACTTTCGCGAGATTGACCTCAGCTGCGTACACTGTGTCTCGCCATGAACTTCCATGCTGCGTCTCATCCACGTTGTCGTCCTCTTCCCACGGCTGTTTATCTCGCATCTTTTATCCAAGCACAACTTCTGAAAGTACACATTCATACTATCAGAAAAGCAGCTTTCAAATCGCATGCTTCCAGCGATGCTCGTAAAGTGCCTGAAAGATTTGACGAAATACAAATTGCAACAGCTGAATGCCAATATCTCTTCACGTCGAGATGTCCCATGTGCCAGTATAAACTAACACCTCTTATCCTCATCGCATCTTAAAATTAGACGCACAGCGAAGAAACGCTTGGAAGACTCGACGCAGATTCACCACTCGGCTTCCAGTTCAATTTTAGCGGAAAATCGCGCAAATAAATCAGGCAGCCCCCAGTCGAGAGTGCGTAAGGGAGTTAGGTCTACCCACTGGCTCAATGGATATGGACAGGTAAATACGAACTGATCACAGTACGTATCCACATGTTACAGCTTCGCAGCTGATTACAAAGTTAAAAACCAAAATGCAAATAACCTAGTGCTGGTTTTTTTATGATGAGCAAGTTATTCTAAGTATCCATATGTATTCAAACATACGCGCTATTATGTTCAGTTAAATGTATACAACGGATGCTGCACAGCTTGTGATGAAGAGTAATGCGCACCGACAAACAGCTAATAGCGTTCATGGTTTGTACATTTCTCCGATTGACTTTCGCGCTTTGTTTCTGTATTCTCTTGCTTACAATGGGTGTGTAAACTCACAAAAGCCGGCAGAATAAACCACTCGCGACATCACAAATCCTTATTATTGATGTCCGCATATTCAAGCCATGCCTGAATCAATCTTGCCTTGTCTTCTGTAGCAGCTGCAGAATAGTACGTCCACGACCGGTCTTTCGGCTAAGAGTCACCAGTACAGCGACTCTCCAAATAGTATATTGTCTTCGCATTCCCCAAGCAACTCCGGCAATAGTCGCAGGATGTCGTATGGTAAAGGAGCCGCCAGCGTGCTCCCTTCAGCGCTCACAGATGTCGCAAGAAAGATCGGGGACACATTCACAGGTAAAACTACTGCGGGAGGGTCGCACAGAGGGAGTGCGGTGAAAAAAGATAGTATGGCGAGTGCTACGAGTGCTACTGAGAGGAAAACTATCGTCTCGAACAGGACGGATAGCCTGGCTGGCAGGGATAGCTCGATGTCTGTGTCATCCAACCCTACGTCGAAGCCGTCAAAAAGCGGACTTGGGATGGGAAAGGGTGAGATGGTGAATGAAGATAACACCCCCAAAGCAAAAGTTGTGACGGTGGTGTGGGATGACTTCTATGATGATGGGAGCTGCGATAGTGCCCTAATGGCCGCGACTTCATCCTTGGGAAGGTGGGGCTTTTTTGTTGTTAGTTCTGGATTATAACTTCATACCTGTCTCTACAAATCAAGAGTGACTATTCGGGTTTGTCACTTACCTTCGTATGTCTTGATTTTGTTAAGACTCCATAGTGCATATCTATACCATTTTCTCTCAGCGTGCTTTTCTCCTCGTTACGCCAGGTACAACTCATACGTTGAGGAATCGAATTCGAAGCACAAAGGTCTGGTCCCAACCGGTAACAAGCCTTTAGCCTCTGCTTCAGGTCCTATAGGTCACATATTCGCCTCCACTCAGGCGCTCTCGTCTCTGCAGACTTCGCCTGTACTAGGCATAGAAGACAAGCAGCCGTTGGAGGGGGCGCAGTCGGCCCCGAGTGCACAGCAACGAAAGAGTACCAGCAAAGATAATACTGCTGGCGGGAGTGCCTTTACACAGGTGCGTAAAGCAGGATATAGTCCATCGGAGAAGGACTCGAGTTCCAGGCTGTGGCATTTGCATACTACATTAGTCGTAATAATATGATTTTCCAAGAGATTCATTGGTAGCAATGCGTCGAAGAGTGGGTTTCAATTTCGCAGTATATGGATAGTGCTCTTACGCAACGAAAAGAAAATTCCGGCTCAATATTATACGTTCAACCAGACAACTCGTTTACAATTATATTTTTTTGAACTTTCTCCAGGCATATATCCACAGCAGTGCTTCTCGCTTCAATTTGTCCGAAATGTCTTCACGAGTGAGCAGCCAGAGTTCATTTGTTGGTAACAAGGAAAGCTCGATTGACCATATGGAGCAGGGTAGTGAAAGGTATGTACGTCGATATAGCAGTTGTTCTGTAGATATACATTGCGTATTCTCGAAAGCGATCTACGCAGAATGAATTGAGAATTGCGACCTAAAAAGACACTACTTGTTTGTTTGGCAGGGAGTACAACCGTACATTGTCTGTAAGTGGATCACCCGGCAATCAGGGATACACCCCGCATGTGCAGCGTAGTGACGAACGTCGCGGTTCGATAACACCTGAAATGTCACATAGATACAGACCGAGCAATATCGTGGAGTTGAAGAAGTCTAAGTCGACAGGCTCCTTTGCTGTCGCCTTGGAAAATGCTCATAAGAGCAAACGATCACCGCAAAGCCCCAAGGGAAGTCTCAACACATCACACTCAATGGCAAGGAAAGAACTTCTGAAGGCGACAAGCTTTGTTGGGATAAGCGCTGAGAGTACAGGCTCGCCGCCTTTACAACGGATGACCACAGACTCTTTCGACGCTCCCGTCCCAATAAAGAAGAGTATGAGCCGGTCCAACTTCAACGATATAACATCCCCAGCGCCGTCTTTCAAGAGTATAAAGGGGCAAACGCAAGCAGCGACGCAAGGAAATTCTGGAGGCTTGCCTCTACAGAGTAGCATGTCCCCACACAGTACCAATGAAGTACCAAGTATGAGCCTGGGCAGTTTTAACAATTTTGTGGCTTCTAGCGGGGTGACTGACTACGGTGGTGTAACCACACAGAGAACTCGCAGTCCTGCGGGTAGTCTGTCACAGAAGAAAAGCATGAATCGATCTAATTTCAGCGATGTAGTGCTTATCGCGGATGTCAGTAGTTCCAGCGGAATACCTGCGACAACGCCTGACAAGCTCAACTCAAGGCACATCTCGATGGGTATGGGCTCGCCCCCCGCTCCTGATCGCTCGGTGGAATCCAAGGCAACGGAAACACTCCGATTGAAAGCGGGCTCAATGTCGAAAAGCGCGTTCACTTTGGCGACACCATCATCGCCGCCAAATGGGGCTAGCATCATTCGGCACAAAAGTAATCATGCGCGCACGGAATTCAATACCAGTACAAGCAACATCAATACAAGGAACGCTAACATCAACCATACCCACCACGATCGTACCAACACCTCAACGTTTTACGCGCAAACAAACACTGACTGTGACTGTGATAGCGAGACAGACACCGCGGGCAGCATAGGGAAACTCAATATTTCTACTCCACCCCATGAAGCTATAAGCAATTCGTCGACTATCAAGACACAGCAAACACAACAGCCACAACAATCACAGGCTACATCGCCAGGACTCTCCCTGGCTGCTCTAGAGCAAATAGACAGAGCATTCGTAACACAGAAAAGCGCGGGCGGAAATAACACTATGATGGTACGTTCACTCAGCCGGAACGCTATGCCTATAGATCTAAGGCCAATTGAGAAAGGAGATGTTTTACTACCGCAAACTACAAACAGTGTTGGACCCATTCAGTTACCCACGTTTGATGGCGAGACACAAAAGCACTCTCATGAACCAATGACTTTGAATGCTGAACTTACTGCACGGGCAAGTGCTAAGGGCAGACCCAAAGCTAAAGTTGTTGGTACACCCGATTACCTGGCACCAGAGTTGCTGCTGGGTACTGGCCATGGTATGTATTTCGTTCTCGGAAGTTTGGGGAGACATTTTATGAGGCCATTATATTTTTATCGTTGATTACAGTTGTTCCGGTAGGTTTACTCTTTTGAAGTGTTCCTTGACTCCGAAATTTTGTTTTCGTCATGGGCTGCTTAGACTTATTGCAAAATAGACAAGCATTTTTAGACATCAATTTTATATAATATAATTTGTAATACATTTGTACAAAATTTATTCTCATGTATGCTTTCCAAGTGCATGGCATTGTAAACATATCAGAGTGTCATTTTTTTTGGTCATGTTAAAAGTGCTTGCTATGATTCTGCGTCGAATCAATGCTCATTATGATTGTAAATTTTCTTCAAAGGACCTGAGGTTGACTTCTGGGCACTCGGAGTATGCTTATTCGAATTCCTGGTGGGAGCACCACCCTTCAACGATGAAACAGAGGAAAGGATATTTCAGAATATATTGAATCACGGTATGTATGATGCTGAAAGTTTTTGCTTTCTTTGTGCAGCCAGCCATATGGTACACTGACGATTGTGTTTACAGTGCATACAGGCTTTTCTATTGTTTGGAAATGATATACACAATGTTTTATTGTTACCAAACCTGATTGCTCTGCTCCCTCCCAGATATTCCATGGCCCGATGTTCCCCAGGAAATGTCCTTTGAAGCACTCGACTTAATTACGAAGCTGCTCAGGAGGGACACCCGATATCGCTTAGATGGAAATCAAATTAAGGTATTGTATCAGGAAAGATGCAGCACTGGTAGTTTAAACACCACCTCATTAACTGTTTGCCACTTGTGTACACCCGAAGCTCGCTTCTGCTTAGCTTCAACAAATTATCTTTTTCCTCAATCATCTTGCTGCACAATTTTTGTCACCTCTTACCCATATCTCTTTCTTTCTACTCCAAACAAGAATTGAATTCGATACTTTCAAATGTACAGATCGCATGAGCTATATATGTATTTTCCGCGTGTCAAGTATGACTGCTCGGTCTGTTTTCTAATCTGGCTATGAAATGTATTATTTTGAAGATAATGCGACCTTGGCTTGACAGTGTTAGTTTCGGTGCAGAAGTTGCCAGCCCTTCTCTACCCGATAGAAATTCTGTACTGATATCATTTTCACTCTTCTCTTTGATCAGACCCATGTATTTTTTTCTAAAAATGAAGTCAAAATAAATGATAATGAGGACGTGACTGGTCCTTTTGTGCCGCAACCCTCCAATATAGAAGACACGGGCTACTTCGATGGTATGTGTATCTGTTTTGGTGCGTAGCCTTCTATAAGGTGATATTAATTTTAGCGTCATCATTGATGTCGCAGGTCACGGATAGTGCGAATGAATGAAGCAATGATTTGAATCAGTTAAGTTTTGAAGTTCTGGTGAAATGTCATCGCAGTTGTTTGATGCGCAAATCCGCCAGTTGTCTGATCAGATACGAGTGGGACAGTACATTCATGGTGCGATCGCGATTTTTCACTGTGTGTGAGATCAAAATATCTCCAATATCGCCTCCATATACGTTGTACAGTGCGAGATCAGTTGCCAGCACCATATAATTATTTCTCACACTCTCTGAATCCCTTGGTACTTTCGATAATTTGCAGACAAAGGAACCTCCATGACGGACCTACACATGCAGGGTAGTACGATGCTAGATCAGAAACCGCCGGATGCGTCTGCGTCTACCGAAAGTAATATATTTAAGGAGTTTGACCAGAAGGTATGACTGACTCAAGCGCCCAAGGTGTGCTAATATCATTTTCTTGTTGCTGTGCATATGTGCAATTACAGCGAGCCTGTGTTGACATGCTGATTGTTTGAAGATGTTGTGATTTCGTAGTCTATCAATAAATATCAAAGACAACTTGTAGATATGTATTGCGCTTCTATTTGTGGGCCGTTAGTCTTATCGTTTCACGTATATCACTCCTATTTGTGTATCCGCTCACTCTTGCTTAATCTTTCGTTCGAATTTTCCAGGTGACACACAACCTTCTCTCCAAAAACGACCACGTGTCACGCGATCTACAACGTTCGCGTCAGACTCCATTATCAGCTAAACGGCAAGTGATGTCATAAAGTAAAATCAGCCTTCGATTGATACTGAAGGTTGACTTTAGACACTCGATGCCTTGTCCTACCACATCTTGGTTTTGTAAATGTATGACATGTGTAATTACATGTTGAGATAGACTCTGTGTAGAAAATTTCGAATTTGGAAACGGCACGATTGGCAAAAAGTTGTCTACTAGCTATCATACCTTAGACCTGATGAAACCTCCATATATTGCCCGGGAGCTACAAGGTCGGTGTGCAAACTACATGTTATTCAGATGGGGCGCATGTTCCAAATTTGAAATTGAGGATAAATAAATTAAGTACCGAAATAGTTGTGCAGAAAGAGAATTCATAAAGTTCTCAAATAAGGTAAATGCAAGTGGGTGCGCCGAATGGATGCGACAAACACCACCCAAAGGATTTGCTTTTGTATTCTCCTAGAATTTACTTAGTGTTGAGTATCACTAAGCTCTGACTCTGGAAAATAAGATTCGGGCCGTGCACTTCGACCGCTCCAGGACATGTCATATGGTCCCTGAGTTTGGTATCTGTGCGCAATAGGAATTACGAGGTCTACTTCCCCGTCACGACACAGACTGAATAGACACTACGAACAGTGACATCACTGAGAAACGGCACCGAACAGTCCTGTTGGGATCCGTTGCTAGACTCGTTCTGTTACTACCGCTCGGTCTTCCTCACCCTTGCCATCCTCTATTTCTCGCATAGTCGTAAGCGTGCCGAAACTCACCAGGCCTCCAATTCCGATGCTTTGTTGTGAAGGCTGTATAGAAGATATTTTTGTATGCATTAAGATATGTTTGGCTGTTCGTCTGGGTATTCTCAATCCCTCTCGCCCATGAAATTACTCCCCAGTCTCAACATTGAGAACTAGCGCAAAGTTTTACTTGTATTTTGGCATAGTGCAAACTGAAGCTCGTGTATCGGATCTAAGACGTGCTCTGTGAGTGATGTTGATGTCCCGGGATTCATTTTCCCTCCTGGTGAGTGTGTTGTATGGCGTGGTTGTTTCCTGGTTCAGATATTTGTTGGGACCTATCCAGGTGCAGACTCAATAGATGTCTGACCACCTGGAATTCCCGAGGCGCCCGATAGAACAAGATGAAATCAACCGCGACATATATTCGTTTTCAATTAAATGAATTGAGATTAAATATATAAAGACGAACATTGTCATTTGCATCAGAGCAAGTTTGTGTGTTGCCTAACTCAGGTGGTGACAGACAAATCGTTAGTTTAATATTTGTTGAAGTGCTTCAGCACTCTTATAGATACAAGTGCTTCAGCACTCTTGTACAGCACTGTACTTGATGATTGAAGAGACCGAAACAGACGTTGAATTCTCCCATGAATCCGAAAATAATGCTTGTGAAGCTGTAACTTCGTAGCCTGCTTCGTTGCCCATTACAGTGGAATAGCATAGCCCTCGAGAGAGAGAAAAACACCTGTTAATTGTGTTGTAAATTTCTAGTGATCGGGCGTACCAAATCCATTAGAATGATTTCTGAATATATTAAATACTAAAAACCTAGAAGCAGCTTCTGTAGCTCAGTTGGTAGAGCGCACGCCTACGAAGCGTGAAGTCGCGGTTTCGAGTACCGTCAGAGGAATTTTTTTGTACATACGATATACTTGCTGTGGTTCACGCCAATGTGCAAGCCAGCCAATTTTGATGTGTGTATTATACCGAAATATGTTTGAAATGATCGCTTTTTTTTATTTTTGCTTGCTCGAATGCTTGAACAAAATCAGTACACAAAATTCGCTCAGACATGGCGAGTTGTCGCCGTATGGGCGGTTTATCGACTGGAATAACCAATCTCGAGTAAAAGCTGAAGTGAAACAGATCTGATCTGCTACCAGCGGAGTCTGACAATTTGATGGCTGCTGTGACCTGCTCATACTATGTATATCTCAGATCGGTGGGGATGAAATACATAATTGTTCACGCAATCCTGGACTGTGGATTACGCTATTGGAAATGATCTCGCGTGCGGAATTGGGTTTTGGATACAGAAGCAGAATCTGACAAAGCCCGCTCTTTCTATTTTTTTCAACTTAATCTTCATTTAGCCGACTAACACTCACACTAACGCATGATCCCAAATTGTTCGAAATATGATCTGCCACATCTGGCTGACCTAGGTTTGCTTGAGAAAAAAAATGCCGCTTAACTCAACCACGTCAAGACTTCGTATTAGACTATGACGACCGTCTTGACACGCGCTCTCACTACACTTGGACTAAAGGATATGGCCTTACGTTAGAGGTTATTTTATACGCACTCCATCTTCCAATTTACGGACAGACCGTCTCGATAAGAAGGTTCTTAAGTGTATAATTTGAGAGTAAGTGAAAAGATACGACCAATGAAAACAATAGACCTCTTCTCACGTGCAGGCTAAAGGGCTCGCATTGACTCGGTTAAGTTCCCTGCCTCGTCCGTTTCCTGTTGCTCGCTGACCGTTCATCAATACTCGTTGCTGTTGACTTCATCGGCCTGGATTTAAGAACATCAACATTTGCGATGTCTGTTTCGTGCGTCCCATCTGTCCATTATGGTAGGTCCTTTTGGGATCCGTCGCCTTTGTTGGAGGACTGATGGTCTAATATCGAGAATGATTGTGTTTTCTCGGCTGGATGTACTTGGCTGTTGGGAATGATTTCCTCCGAAGCATTGGCCTTCATTACCAATCCAGTTATTTCATCACTGACCGAGTTATGGTATTCTTGGGCTTTAGCCCCATCAAGGTTACAGACAAAATGTCCATTGCCCACCTTGAATACTATTTTTTATGGTCCGCCATGTGGTGCTGCCATTTTAGTCATTTGACCTTGTTAACGGACGATTACAATGACCCCTTCTGGAAGTGTACGTATTTCTGTTGGTATTTTCGGTCATATGATGCGCGTATTTTTTTATTGGTATTGTGCACCATTCGTGTCTACTTGTGGTGTGATCGACTCTTCTATAGTCACAAGTCGCGTTTCCTACGGTATTGTTGTATCAGGTACGTTTACTAATGCATTGTAGCCGGTTAGTTGGTTTTGTCTCCGTCCAAAGTACACATTGAATCGAGGTGATTTTTGTCTTGATAAATGTAGGTTGTGGCCCATTTGGACAAACAGTATAAGTGAACACTAGTTGCCTAGGTTTTGTTCAAAAAAAAATTGATAAGGATATGAGGTCTCTGTGTAATCGCTCATTTACTACCATTGTGTTAGGTTGGGATGATCTGGACAATAGGTGTTGTGACGGTGCTTGCTCGATGATTTTCAAGAGGATCTCATTTACTTATTCTGCGCCCTGATCTGTCTGTATACTTTGGGAAGCCATATTCACGCATGATTGAAACTAGTGTTCTTGCGACGATCGCCGCTCCATCATTGGCACCGCCAACTGTCTTATGGAATTGGTCTTAGTATGACATATGATGAGTGTACATCGATCCAGACTAAAACCTACGTGTTACCTTCTATCGAGGAATCGACGGTGTCCAGTAAATGCGGCTGCTATCAATTGTGTTGGGTGGTAGCCCTTATTGTAAATTTTGTTCTTTAGGCATCGTATACACCGTTCGATGTGTTGGTTTTGTCCTTCTGGCGTTGCGTGGCAATCTAATTGAAGTTTGTGTGTAGTTTCTTTAACGATGTAGTGCCCCACTTTGTGATATTGCGCTATGAGATTGGCTTTGTCATTATATGTGACTGTGTCTAGCTCTGCCAATTTTGGCAACTAGTATAACCCCTCACGGTGTCTTACCGCACGCTGTTGTGCCTCCTTTCAAGAACGTGTTGTTTGTATTTTCTAGTATCATTGGGTCTTGTTCTAGTAGTGACAACAAATTGGGGAACCACGTTGCATTTGGGTAGTAAGGTATACATATTGTGATACTAGTGGCTTCCTCTATGACTTTACCAAGAACCCCTGGGAGTGGCTCCAGGGAGGATTCACCCATTCGTCTATTTCATCTACCCACTTTTGAAGTAGTGCATTCTGTTCTTTGGAGTAGAACTTTGCTTTATATACATCATGCACTGCCGCGAATAAATCGATGGTGAATTTCCTGAACATGCGTTCCGCTTTTACTGTAGAACGAATTTTCCAGTCTATGGCTGATATCAGTATAGGCGTTGTAATTGTTTACAGGTCTGTGTATCGCTGACTGTTGTCTGTGATCTGTTGGCTTATGTTATCGGTTGGCTTCTTTTGATACATCTGATGATTTGATGTCGAAGATATCCTCATGAATCGTGATAACGTGTAAGCGACTTGGTTGTCCTTGCCTGGTACATATATATTTGTAAAGTGGTGGGGGAATGCTTTTGCTATTCTTTTCTGCTAGCATAGGGTGCAATGCTGGTTCATATGACACAATGAGTTATTATCTGTACATAGCGTTATATCGCCCCCCCCCCTGTGATGTATCCGGAAAAGTGTTCTAGACCGCGAATTAGTGACAGTAACTCCTCTGTATTTATTATATATTTTTGTTGTTGTTGTACGGGGTTTAGCCTTTCTAGAAATGTCATCATTTTTACTTTAAATAAATAGCCACCGATTCCATACTTACTGACGTTATTCGTGATTTGAAAAGGTACGCCGCCCACTGGGTATGCTAGTATTGCTAGAATTCGCTATAGCGCCTTCGAGTTCTCATTTTATTCATTGAGATCAGGTGGACATATGTTTGCTATGTTCTGATTTATTTTACCTTTCAAAATGATTGCGGAAGTTGTTTCATGGTAAGAGCAAAATTTGGTATGTGGTCACGCATGTACTGCTCAATATAAGTCTCGTCTGGTTCTTGGCAATGGACAGTCAATCATACACAATTATTTCTCTGGGTCTGATTTGAGCCCTTGTGTAACGACTTCGACGCCCAGTATATCGACTATCTTGACTGTAAATATTGTTGTGGTTCAGTCGAAAGTTGGCAGAGCTCAGCCTTTTGATACCTTTTTGTGCCGGTTTCTTGTGTTTCTCTTCTATGAGGCTAGCAATGACTAAGTCCTACACACATACTTTTACTCCTTCAATGTCAGTAAGTATGTCTACCATTACTCGTTGGAATCGGGCTGTCAGCAAGTGCAATCCAAACGGTGATGACTTAACCGAGTATTGTGTCCCTCTCTATGAACATGTGAAAAAATGATTTATATTTTCATGTACCAGGAAGTGATGGAATCTCCTTGTCTGATCTAATTGTGACAACAGTTTCGAACATCGTAGATTGTGAAGTACTTATTTTATCTCCGGTAGTACGAATTCGTTTTGATAGTTGACTTCCCTAAGGTCAACGCGC